ATATATATACTTTGTGGGGTCTGCCACGCCTCCTTCTGCCTGTTACATACTTTTAACAAAACCATTATACCCTGATTTCCCATTTTCAATGGGTTCAGGGTATAAAAAACATGAATAAATACTTTGAATATTTGAAGTCGCACAGGATCAAACTGGGCAACAAAATGTTGATTGCTTGCTTTTACATTTACATCAAATACATTTTAAGCTTTGTCTCTTTAGTTCATTTAGGTTTGTTAATTATTAATGCAACACTTAATACTCGATCATACAAACAGATTAACAGCTGTGAAATTTACGAGTATTATCGACTTTCTAACACTCCCAATCACATTTATGAAGTTTGTAAGGACCTCAAGACTCAAGCCACAAGTTTCATCACTTAATAGCTTAAATTAAGTAAAATAAATAAAAAATCGTTCAACATTAGTAAACGGTTTTATAAGCAATATTATTACTGTATTAAAGTAATTTAATGCCATCGTAACCTCTCAGAAGTGGAAAGATGCAAAATAAAATGTTCGTGTTTATTTGTTTATACGCAAAAATATTTTGCTATTTATTTTTGCTATTTATTTTTTATTTCGCTGGTTGTGGTTTTTGTTTTCGTTCCCGTTCTCTCTTTGATTTTGCGCTGTTCAAGAAATTAAATACGACTTTGTCATTTGCAAACTCAACAGTTTTCCACGAAGCGAGCTCTCAGCCATTACAATCTCAGCGCAACCCACATTGAATATCTATAATTGTATTTGGCCCCCATGGCCGCGAGCTGGGGTCCTCATAAATAAGAGATGGGTAACGAAAACAGCTTATTAAATGACTGGCAAAAATAGCTGTAGGTGCTCGGGATGGGACCACATTATATACTCTGAACAGGCAGACATATTTGGATGAGCGTGCATATACATTTCGTGGAATTCAATATCTTTAATTTTGCCTCTGTACGCCTGCACAAAGAGGCAAACATTGGCTTTTAGGTATTAATTACAGGTGATCAATACGTCTGCAGCGCCTCCCATCACGAATGAAATAAATGCCTGATAAATAGGTGTATGTGTATGTGTGTGTATGTGTGTGTGTGTGTGTAGTTTTTGGGCATTTAAGAGCTCAGCTGCTTGAGCTAAACAAACATTTAAGTTGATTGGGCGGGCGCAAATGTAAAAAGTTTGCACTCGAGAGTTCACCAAATTCGCATAAATTCTATGCGTGCCATAGCAGCCGTGAACTTTTTAATGTATTTTAAAACACTTTCCACTAAACATTTTAAGTAAACTGCTGCACAGTCAACGTCTTCCTCTGCCTCGTGTTCGTGTTCGTTTTCATCTTCAGCTCCATCTCCATCTCCATCTCCAGCTCCAGCTCCTGCTCCAGCTACATCTGGCGCAGGGACGCCAACTTGACTTCCTGTGCAAGCGGCAAAGTTTTGTTGCACTCCTGCCGCTGCTTCAACTTCTGGCTGCAGTTGCACTTGCTCGGCAAATTCCATGGAGGCTGAAATCAACTATTTCATTTTGGATTCAACTGCTGTCCGAGCATTGCAACACCACCACCAACATCTACACCACCACCAACATCTACAGCAACAGCAACAGCAGCAGCACCATCAGCACCAGCTACAAAATGGCAAATTAAACTAAATACAATCGAGTGAACGAAGCTTGAAATACACTTACATAGCCAAGGCTTTCAAAGTGAACCGAATGTCTGATAAAAATTCCTCAAAAGAAATAAATGTAAGAAATCAAATAGATTATGCTGGATTAATGCTCTGATTTTCCTTTTAAAAATCGTTTAAATATAAGCTTATACAGTAGAGTCTCGAGAGCTCGAAATGACAAGGGTAACAGTCATCTTTTATTTGATTTGCACAAAAATTCAAATTATCGAGAATTATTAAGAACGATTTTTTTAATGGAATAGAATCTTTTTCGATTTATCGAGATTTTTTTCTAAAATAAATTGAACAATAGTATATAGAATCTTCTTTTAATAATCTAAGAATATATATGTATATATGATCATAATTATGTGCAGATATCCTGCTAAAATCATAGAGGCATTCTTTTTTTTTCTTTTAGTATCTATCTGTAATTTATATCTATATATAAAGTATAATTTATAGATTCTGATAGTAGTCTAGAAATATATATAATTATAATTATTTGAAAGAGTACTTTATAGCGTATTCAAGTATCCTTATTTTTCCACAGCATTTCATCAAGGCTCTTAACTGAATGATTTAGTCTGTGGAACTCCGCACAAAGTAAAGTATTGTGAATGCAACAACAATGGCAATATCAGCATAGTAATAACAATACCACGTAGCGCATAAAGTTCTTGGGTGTTTTCGGTGCTGCATACCCTACACTCAACGCCCCTACGCCCCTGTGCTCCTGTCAGTTGTCGCACTTCACACTGGCCGGCGCCCATTTGGATGGATGCGAAGGGGGAAGGGGGAAGGGGGGTGGGGGCGAGGGGGCTGAAAGGCTACTGACTCAGCTGCCAGCTGAGTTTCGAGCAAGTTTTGTGCTACAAAATACTGTATAAACTGAAACTCCTTTAGTTGCCGTGTGGGCGTGGCAGTGTGTCAATGTTTACTTTATGTGCCTAGGCGCAGACTAGTAGCTGCAAAAGTTTCTGTGTCCATTTTACCCCTGGGCTCTATTCTCTTCTATTTTTATTTTTTTGTTGATTTCTTTGCTCTCTTTCTCTCTTTTTTTTTTTAATGAAAATGAAGCTATGCGGGCTGCTTGTCAAAAAATTGTAATTAATTACAGTCGTAAAACGCAAAAGTTGCATAATTAAAATGTTATTGTTAATAATTAAATAAGCCAGAGCAAAGGCAAATACGACAATGTCGCTTAGCTCACAGATTAATTAAGCTGTCAATATTTGTCAAATCTTCTCAGTTAGCTCTTGCGTTTAATTTTAATTCCAATTTATGCCACCTTTAAATGCATGCATGCATTTGTGTGCTAGCCACGCCCACACTGCACGCCACGCTCACGGCCCACATGGTCAACCAGTGGCCCATTTACGTAAGTGGTTGCATGCTGTCGAGTAATTGCATGAATTTGTTGGCCAATGATTGCATGTTTGCCAAATTGTTTGACCAACTGTTGAGCATGATTTTTGTGCAGCTGAGCTTTGTGCAGCTGACCCGACCTACCGCCGGACAACTGTCCGGCCAAACTTCTCTGGGACATTGAATAATTAAAATATTTCCAAAATCAACTCTAATGCTCGACACAAAACTGAGATTATCAATGCCAGCGCTCAAAGCAAATGCACAAAAACTTGCCCAAATGGCTGAAAACGGACTGCGATGGGACTCTGTGGTGTGGGCGGGCTGGCTTCGAGCATGTTTGCACATTTGAAATGTAACAAAGATTTGCTCTGTTGTTGCTAGAAAACATTGCCAAATATTTGCCATGGAATTCACATGCTGCCTACAACAGACTTGCATGGAAAAGTTCCATAGCTGCCGGAAGATGATTGGGGTCAAGCCTTTATGTTTTGCTTGTATGCAAAATAGTATTAGATTTGCTTCTAATTGTTTTTAATTAAGTATGATTTATTGCACAAACAACAATAAGCAGCTCACAATGCGCAATTTTCAGCACTCTGCTGTTGTCTAACATTTTGGGAACTTTTTAAGAATTTGCTCACTCCAAACGAGCTGTATTTGCATTTTGATGAAACCCAGCATGTTATCGCAGGATTTATGATACGCTTTTAAAACGAGCGCTGCCAGAGTCTATCATTACATTGTGGGATTAAAAATAGGGCATAGAGTCTGCGGCGTGCTGTTGATGCCATCTCATTCTAATGTGGAAATCGGATTGTCGCTCTCAAATGTAAATCCTGAGTCTTCAATCTAAAAGAGCTGCTCCTGGTGTTTGGGAAAACTATAAAAGCAAAGGAAAAAGAGCATCAATATACCAACTCTAATATTCTTAGTTTAGAAGCAACTTAATGACAGTTATACTCAGGTTCTTCAAACTAATATAGGAACGCCATTGTCGAGCTGTCCTTATTAGATTTTAAATTTAATGAGCGCGCAATTTAGCTGATTTTGGTGCAATTAAATTTCAATTAGATTGCAATTAGACACCTGTGTCGCTGCCATCAACTGTGCTGTCCGATTAGCGACTGACATTGACAAGTGACATCCCCAATCGAACAGTTGCAAGCTGCAACATGCTGACGAACCGCTTTCTCAAGTTGCAACATGTCTGTTTGCGCCTGTTGGGCGTCAATTGATTTGCTGGCAGATCGGTTCGCGGATCGATTTCATATAGGACTGCCTACTTCATTGTGTCTGTGGCCACATTCATGCCGCTCACCGTGGCATTCAGTGTGGTCAGTGCGGCAAACATGGAAAAGTTGCACTGATCTTATGTAAGCAAAAGGAGTTGAGATCTTTCATTGAACAAATTCAATGCATACTTGGCGAACGTGAGTGACTCCTTCGATATAAGTAGTACATATCAATAATTGCTATCTATTTCTTTCCAAGCAGAGAGTCTAGTACCAGCAAATACCCAAATCATAGACAGGATAAATCGGCGTGAGCAGCTTTTTAGTGGATTATATGCGAGCTGCTTCGCATTAGCTGTTGCATCGGCCTGTCTGCTGCCATTGATACAAGCATTGATGTCCGCTCCAAGCTCAGGCCAGCCGGAGTTGCCATTTCCGAGCGAGTAAGTTTGATGGCTTTAAAGAACTGTTCAGTTGCAGTCGCACCCAGCCCATTGCAGGTTTCCGTGGGATAATCGCATTGCACGCAACTATTTGGCATCGTATGTGTGGAATGCTTCAGCCGGTGTGGGCGTCATACTGTTTGCTGTGAGCATGGATACAGTTTTCTGCTCGCTGACCTGCAACTTGTGTGCGCTGTTCGAAATAGCGCAGAGCCAAATGAAACGATTTCGAGGCGTAACTTTGTCGGAGACCCAGACGAATTTGCGAAACATTTTAATACTTTACCAAAAGTCTCTAGAGATGTCGCTGACATTGAATCGCCTGCTCCGGCCTCTGATCAACATGCAGTTCCTGCTGGCCTCGCTGCATCTGTGCGTGCTAAGCTATCAGCTGTCTGAAAAGCTGGCCAACCTGGAGGTCCTCCATTATGCTGCATTCACCAGCTCCGTTCTGACCCTGTCAGTGCGGTGAGCATCTCAAAGAGCAGAGTCAACAATTTTCGTGGGGTCACCTGCACTTGGCCAGACATCAGGCAACCCCTGAGGCTGACGATGATGCGAGCCCAGCGTGGCTGTCGCATCGATGGTCATTTTTTCAAAGCAAGCATGGAGATATTCATGGCGGTATGCTTTCTTTACAAATCCACAGTTGTGTACCCTCTGTGTGACTTTTTATGCCTTGTAAATTATCAAAACAGCCATGTCTTACGTCACGTTACTAAGCTCACCCTCTGAATGAACCAGATGATCAACTCTGGAATGTGTTTATCATTGAGCAGAAGTTACGTAAAGCTATTTGGCTACATAACAAAATATTAAAATATCTGATTATAAAATATGAGCGATTTTATAGATAATTTATTCAAATAAAGTATATTATTAATAATCATTTGATGCGTTCCTTTTATATTTTATTAATTGCTATAGAGTACATAGGGTTATTTACAATGAAAGCACTCAATTGGCTTATATCAATTAAATAGGAGCATACTTGTATTTATTATCTTACACAACGCCAGGATGTTCAAGTAAATGGCATATTAAAACACTGCATACCCAGCTCTGCTTATTAAGGATCATTTACGAAAATTGGCTAATTAATCCAACTTATATGAACTATGAACACTACTAGTTATCACGTGTGTAAACAGTCTTAATCAATTGGTTGTTGTAGCTGCTGATGCTAATGCTCCAATTTGAAGTGAAGGGTTCACTGCCATGTTTAACTTCTAGTATATATAGGGGTATATTCCTTGTAATAAAGGATGACAGACTCTATCGCTCTGCACATTAACAATGAGCAAACAGTTTGCTGGTAAGAGGATTGCGAAATAACGTTTGCTTTCTCAGGCATATTGGGAGAGAGCTACGTTTCCTAATACTATCAATGCTGAGGTAAATTTCTGTCTGTCGACTTCAATTTGCTACAATTCCATAATCTACCGGAAGTTGTCAAATAAAATTGCACAAAATTTCATTATTATTTTAATTCTCATTTGATTTGTGTTTCATAGTTGCTTAATTGCTTAATTAATACCAAGTAAAAAGATTAACTTTGATTGTACTTTAAGATTCACATAATAAGTAAGATCTCCTTTGACCCTTATTACTAATATTTACATTGTAATATATTGTGATTAGAGAGTCTTTGTTTATATAATTACGTTATTTGTTCTCTATCTTATATCAAATATAAGGCAGCATCGTGTTTCAATCAGCTCAACTAGCTATTTCCTAGTTCTGTTCGACTCTTCCACTTGGTCAAAAACTCTTGAATACAGAAAAAAACTCCTACTCTTACTTATTTACATTCATTTCAATGCTCTTCGAACAGCTGTTTTAAGCGTCGCTGTGTAAGCCACTGGATAATTAAGCCATGTTAATAGCCAACAAATCAGTGCTACGGCTGTTAATAACTCATGCATTATTTTCAATTGTTGCCATGCCAACGTCCTATGTTTAAATCCCACTAGCTTCATGCTCTAGTCATTATATCTGTTAATATTGCTCGCAAAATATTACGGCTCATTGGAAGTGCAGGTAACGTATTTGTGTAACAGAAAACGGATATTTTCAGAAATTGAATTGGTTTTGCATTTGCCATAACATTTTGTATGTTTGTTAACGAAGTGAGAGATGAGAGCTGTTCGATTTCAACAAAAGAAAGTTTATGTTGGCGGAACCCCATTTATTTTCTCTACACATCGATTTGTAAGTGAGCGAGGGCTACTCTTTGGAAACTAAATATTTACTCGTTAAATGTCTGAAAAAAAATGTCGAAATTTAAAATACGTGTGGAGTTTGAAGTTACAATTATGTAAATAAAAAAAAATATTTTTTTTTTATAGATAATAATTAATATTTTAAATTATAAAAATACCATTGAAAATGGAAGAAATTATTATTATTATTATTATTAAATATTCATTATCGACATTGTAAATTTTCAATAAATGTCAAATAGTAATAAGTACACATTTAATAATAGTTATGGATTGCCTGCAAAATATGTCAACAGCAAATATGAAATCATCACAAAGTCGCGATAGACGCCGCAGTACACAACAATATATCAAAACGTTGAGCATCATGTACGACACACTAAGAAAAACATTGACACACATAGAGCAGAGCTTAGGCGTGTGCCATGTGCGATGTGCGCTTGTTGTTATTGTTGTGGGAAAACTTTGGCCGCAAAAGATGCAGAGAAACCAAGTCAAAGAAAGGCAGACAAAATACAACACTTTAGCGAATGCTGAAAGTGGCGAAAAATACACCCCGAGGGCATTGGACCAACCGGCTTTGTGGTCGTTTGTGTGCTTTGCCCTATGTGCTTGTCTACAAATGTGTCGTGTTGTGGCCCATTGAGAGCCAATAGCTTCGGTTTAGTTCAATAATGAGGCTATTGCAACCGAGCCGCCCTCGAAATATTGAGTCTCAATCTGTCTCCCTCTCTCTCTCTCACTCACTCACTCACTCTTTCTTGCTTACTCTTTGGCACACATACATGACTATGTATGGGCGAGTGGGCGGGCGTTGATAAAATTATATTCAATTGATGCTTGTCGAGTTGAAATGCCATAATAAATTCAATTGTGTCTGAGAGAGACTCCCCCGGGCGCTTGCTGTCACTATTGTGTGCCGGCCAGGCCCAGATCCAGCCGAGCGCGCATTTGGCCCGATTCGGGGCCAGTGGCCCACAAATCGTTTATTGTTTGCTTTTCTAACTTTGTCATAATATCGCCCTTTGTCATTTGGCCCGCTTTCTTGTGGCCTTTTGCGGAAAAATTCCCTTTTTAATTTGGCAATTAATTGAATCAATCGCTTGCACATCCTGACATCCTGCTTCGCCATTTTAATGCCGCTAATTTATGTGGTCAATTGTTTTGCTTTTAACGAGCGTTCCATTCAATTTTATTGAAAAATTGCCTCGTCAAGCTTGGCCAAAGCACTTCCGGTCAATGGACGGGCTTTCTTTATTTTCTGTATTCTGTTTGTGCATTAATTTTCAGTCCTTTTGCAATATGCTGGGGCTAAAGGCCAATGGCATTGGGTGGCCATTAATTTAGCTTTGTCTCTTAAAGGAAGAACTTTCTCATGTGAAATTTCGATTGGTCTGCAGAGATCACATTGAACTAATTTTTGTGTATTCTTGTTGAACCAAAAAATATTTCGGAAATTTCAAGCAAATTGAACTCATTTTCCATGTGGGTTTCAATTTCTGTGCCTAATCGCTCTACTCAAAATCCTCTCGAAATAATTGAATTTATGCATTTGGCTGGGCGTTCGGAACGGAAAATGAATTTAAGTAAACGAATCTGGCCTGTACTGAGGGTTTCAGCTTAGGAAATAGAATGCCGTTCGCTTTAAAAGTCAAAGTACATTAAAAAACAATGCTGAAGAATTTTTTTTGGCCTAGATGTGAAGTTCACAGAGCATGAGAAATTGTTATAAAGAGCTAGCCGGATATTTTCGGAATTTTTAATTAATTCCCCTGCACATTCACATGCACATGCACAGGCACATGCACATGCAGCTTTTGCTATATAGTTCACACACACACACACACGCTCATACACGCACACATGCAAGTCGAAACGCTTCCGTACGCTTCCTGAGAAGTCTGGCGACTGAGCCTTGTCCTTTTGTTGCCCGCTTGCCGGCCCCAGTCGGAGTGTCCGTTTGCTGCTGCTGCTGCTGCTGTTGCTGTTGCTGCTGTCAAAGAGCAGAGGGACGTCAACAGCAACCATTTTCAGCAATTGCCATGGAACGAGGTCGATGCGGCGGCGCCCAGCCATCCTCTCCTGGCCTGTTGGACACTCTGCCATGGCATGGCTATGGAACGGTGCGCACTCTTTGTTGTTGCTCATTCATTGTGCAAAGTTTGTATAAATTTTTGATTTCTTTATACAAAATGCTGTGCATGTCTTTCACTTCGTCCGACTGTCTGAAGTTCTGCTGCATCTTCAGTTCCTCTCGCTCGTCTGCTTGTTAACATTGTTGTTGTTGTTGTTGCTGCTGCTTCTGCTGTCGTTGTTGTTGTTGTTGCACACAACACAAACGCCATTGATTGAGTCACATCGCCTGGGCATATAAATCTCACTGCTGGGGCTTGTCATTCGGGCTGTCTGACTTGCTGCTGCCTACCTTAAAGTTTTCGCCGTGCTGGGTCTGCGGCGTTTGACGTAACTTGCCCGATGATTTCGTTATTGTTCGATTGACAATAAAGAATCAACTGAAAGTTCCAAAAAGCACAAAATACCATTGAATTTACTCAGAGCAGCAACAGCACGACGAGCTGCACGGGCTGCGTCACACTCACTGTAAGAACCACAATAGTTGCAAGCATATAACAATAAGTCTCCGGGGATTCCAGCTACATACAAAAAGCTTCCAAAATTGTATGCAAAAAAATGCAATAACCAAGTGCAGCTTAAATAAAATACATTTCAATGATTGCATTTTGGATTAAAATAACACAAAAAGAAAAGCAAAAGCAAAAGCAAAAAAAAAAAAAACAAAAACTCACCAACAACATCGACAACTTTATTAATAACAATAATAATTCGGAAGAGCTGTGAAAAGAACTGCTGTGAAATATTTAAATATAAATTTTCGCAGTTTTTCTTCAGTGCGAGTATCTCTCACACGTTTATTGCTTTGCTGTGTGCCATTTCAGTTTAATGAAGTGCAAACAAAAATATTTTCAATTAGAGCGTAACAATCGCTGAGTAAAACCGAGCAGCAACAGCACGGCAGGGCAACGAGTCGAACGGGCGAGTAGACAATGCGTAAACACAAAAGTCGAAATGGCTGCAAAATGCAGAACATGTGAGTTGTGAGTGGCATGCAAATGCAACTTGCAACACGGCAACGACAATGCCAACAACAGCAACAACAACAACGACAAAGACAAAGACAAAGGCAACGACAACGACAACGACAACATGCATATACATGCAGCATAAAGTGCACTTCAAGCTCGAAACAGTAGTTGCTGTCGGCTTTGCATTCGCTTCTCAGCAAAAAACCAAAAAACTCCTCTCTCTCTATTTGTCTTATGTATATGCCAAATATTGCTTTGCTCGGCTCTACTTTTAGCTGCACTCTGCTCTGTCTAGCTGTGATGGTTATTTGGCAAAATTGAGGCTTCCAAATATAAAAGCTGATTCAACTCTTCTGCATTCAAATAGCTCTGATAAGAAATATGCAAAAAATACTTACTCAAAATATACGCAA